AATGTGGGCTGTGGCGAGGACGAAGGTTTTGGGCGGCACCTGCGGCGGTGCAATGGAAAGTGTGCTGGGCTACACCAAGTTCGTGGTTCCTTTTATCTCTTTTCTTGTATTACGAGTGCTTCGCTTTTTTATCCAGGCTCCCAAGTGTGTTTTCGTTCTCCATGCCAAAGCTGGAGCTTGGTGGTGTCTCCATTCGTCGGAGCATGGCTACGATGGCAGCCCATGAGGCTACAGGTGAAAAACTATCGGCACTCGCCGTCAGCTTGTTAGCAGGTTCTTTTGTTTCAGAAACCCGACCAAGGCGAGTCTTTGCCGATCATGTGTTCTACAAAGGAAAGTGTGCGCTCAACATGCGACTCATCAAGCCGACTTTCAAGATATCAGATGTAAGAAGATCCGAGAAGCTTTGTTCTTAGTTGATTTCTTATTTTGTTTCCTCTAGTCTGGAGACGCGATTCTCTCTCGAGAGGGGACTGTGATGCTGGAGTTTGCGCCATCCATCTCTCAGCGTCAGTACGACTGGGGAAAAAAGCAGGTAGTCTCGTTCCCGCTTTCGCAGGTGTCAGCCACTGATGAGGTTCTTGCAGCTTTTCGCTCTCTCTGTGAGCGAGCTCGGACAGATCCTTGCACTGACCCCGTCGGAATCTCTCGAGTTCTTTCACGACCCAAACATGGGAAAATCGTAAGACTTCCTCTTGTTTTTCTCCTTCTGAAAGCTAGAGATCTCGGTTTTGCTGATAAACATTTGGAACTGCAGTGACGCTGGAATGGTGAGAAAGTCGCTCAAGATCGAACCCACCACGGACAGGAATGGATTCTTCTTCGGTTTAAGTAAGTAACTGAAAGATCCTTCTTTCCAGTTCTCTGGAACTCATTTCCATCGCGCCTGTAGCTGTGGCAAACAAGGTGGAGAAAGCCGAGGCACGACTCAACATTCCAATCTCAAAGGGTGAATTTGCCATCATTCGCTCCGCGGCCAATGTAAGTAGTTCTTGCTTGTTCTTCCATTGTTCTTCCACTCAACACTAACAGTATCTTGGAACACTCTTTTCTAGTACGCTCTCCCTTATCTCATGGGCTGGCACTACGCCACTGAGGTGAACGGGATCGACGAGGCTGGCGCCAGTGGCGCCTCGGTCTCCGGCACCACCGCTCCCCGCAGCCTCGTCCAGCCTCCGTCCGACATCGATCCAGAGTGGGACAAGTAGAGAAGACCAATCCCAACTCTCAAGGAAGATGAGCTCTCTCGAAATTTTTGCGGTTTGTATAGTTAGTACGTAAGTAGGCTCACGCGCGTCTAGTTAAAAGTTCATCTTTTTGCTCTTTGTTTCTTCCATGAATCAAATCGTCAGCTCTCGCAAGAAAACTCAGGAGCTCTTTACAGATCTTTGCGGTTCGTTTGGTCTCGCAAGATCTGTGATCATCAAACGCGTAAGCCGTGAAAGAATGACTATGGACTGATCAAAAGATTGGATCTCTCTCTTTTTTACTGGTGGAGTGCGTGTAGACAGGAAGCTTGCTCGGACTGGGCCTAGAAAGATAAAATTTCGTCAAAGAGAAACAAAGAAACCGAGCACCAGATTCTTAAAACACATGCCTGTTCTTGGTAAAACTTGATGTAGCACCTCGACGGTGGCACCTTTAGCTCCTCCTCCAAAACCCGAGCTATGGCTTTGCACAAATCCTGGTTAACTCCCGGGGAGAGCCCACCAATCGAGACCAATTCTCCATACGCAGCAGCGCTCTCGTGGCTCCCTTGAAACGCTAGAGTGACACCACCATGAAGAAGCACCATCACGTACTGTAGAACAAGACGTCAAAAAAACTCCGAGAGAAAAATCCAAAGAGCTAGCTCCACTTACAGACTCGGGCTTGCCTGTAGTTTTAGCGACTTCGTGACTAAGCTTGCTCACAACCGAGGACATCAAACTTCCATCCAAGAGCACCACATTGGTATGAATTGTTAGCACGGGCATACCTTCTTCTTTCCCTACTATTGGTAAGACGAGGCCAGAGAGAAGAACCCTATATCGCCTTGGCTTTTGATTTTATTCTCTTCTGCTATGTACACTTTGCTCCTGCTGCGATAAACACAGACACAGAAGCAAGCTTTGGTGAGCTTCCCAAGCGAATGGAAGTAAAAACGAAGAAAGAAAACTCAAATGCTTATCCAAGGCCGTGTAGCTCTGTGCGATGGTAGCCTTCTCTGGAGAGCTGGGGCAGCCAGGCTATGGCGATTATCCCAGCGACCAGCGCGAACAAGGCTGCCAGAACGAACGCTGGCTCGTTGCCACCTCCAAAAACCGCGTCCCAGGGCCCGGCTCCCAAGGCAACTACCAGCTGGAAAGAAAAAGGAAAGTTGAGAAGACAATGTGAATCAACGCAGAAGAAATGAAATGCCGACCTGCGGGATAACAACGGAGAGATTCAAAATTCCCATCGCCAAGCCTGCAACGAAGAAAAAACGCTTAATATTCATCGAGAAAAATAAGGATCAAGATACCAACCTTGACCACCCCCTGTATCGGCCGTCAACTCAGCAGTGATGGAAAATGGTACGCTGTAAGTTACCTGCGAACAAGATCTGAGTCGAGTATTTTAGAGAGCAAAGCTAGCTCACCGCAAGAGGAAATCCCAGAACCGCAAAAAGCACAAGAGCTCCATTCTTTATCGAATGGAAGTCTTGGAAATGGTGGTATGCCGACGCGCTGATAATTGCTGTAGAGGCCATACAGATGAAAACGATGAAGTTGCTTGTAGCCCATAGCGTTTTCGACCCGAGCCAGCGACACAAAGGATCAATGAGAAACGAAGAGACGCCCAACACAACCTGCGCGCACGGTTGAACTATCAACAAACAAACGAAAAGAAATGCGTACCGAATTTAATAACAATCCAAAGGCACCGGCTTGAACTCCTTTCTGATAGCTCTTCGCCTTGTCAATACCACCAGAAGGATCACCGTTGTAAACTTCTCGGCCCATCCAATCCGTATCAAAGAGGAAGAAAGGAAACCAGGATAGCTGAGAAACCACAAAGTTAGAAATCAACTAGAAGAAAAGAGATTCTTACCCAAGATAACGTCATGACGACCAAAACGCTCTTCATTGCCTCTGGGAGTTGTCTCATGCCCACCAAGAGATTCACCAGAACCGCTCCAGGTCCCGCAACTACGTCGACTTTTTCTTCCTTCGCAGCATTTTTATCGTGATTGCCATTTATGTTGTGATGGCCATTCGATAATCCGTCATCAGCTCGAGAACCATTAATAACGGTCAGTTCAAGCTCTTTCCCGCTACGATCTTCACGAGATATAGGTGCATAGTCTTCTTTCCTTTCATCTTTCGGCAAAAGCGGAACTTCATGTGAGAACCACAATGTCATCGCTGTACAAAACGCCAAGAATATCTGCGACAAAAGTTTCCACCAGAAATCTAGCAGATGCGGGAATTCAAATCACTTACCACAGCTAAAAGATAAGCAGCCTTGAGATTTCCGCACGCTTCATAGCATGCCTTACTCTTCAAGAAGGGAAACCACCTGAACAGATATTTCATTTAGCAGTTTGAACAGATCGAAAGCCTAATGTACCTATGCCAGTGTCCACCCGCTCCAGTAGCAAAGCCCAAAATGTTACCCAAAGCAATCCATGAGCAGAAGATGGCATTAGCAGAATTCCTCTGAGTCGGACCTGAACAACCAGAAGAGAAAGTTGAACAATGCACAAAACTTTAATTATATGTTTCGAGTACCTGCTAAGTCCGCTAATAGAGCTCGAGCAGGCGCCTGGAATTTAGACTGTGTCAATGCCAAGATGAACTCTAAAAACTTTTACCTGTACAGTGTTATTAGCTACATCCAGCATCCAAAATCCGAGTACAAAAATTCCCACGGCCCATGGCCGCGTTACTATCTTCGGTGACCTGAAATTCTCTGTGTAACGATGATAGTGTACTCGTTTTACGTGGCATACTTACTTACAATCAACATGCGGATCCCCCAACAAATAACCAAAGTCCGCCGCAAATCCTATAAAAACTACCTGAAATGGAGCAACTTATCAGATGTCGTCACCAGAAAGTAAAAAGAAACAACTAAAACTTACGGCAACGCAAACCAGCAGGGCTCCCACAAAAATGAAAGGCCTTCTGCGTCCCCATTTCGATCTACACCTATCGCTCCAGATACCAACGCATGGCTGGACCTGAGAGAAAAATAAAGAAAAAAAACGTGGAAAACGTACGTAAGAAAACGTATGTAATTGACTTACGATCAACCCGGTGACAGGGCCACACAGCCATATGAAGGATGAAGAGGAGTGTCCAATTCCCAGTGTCTAGGAGAAACAACGTTTCTTAGAACACACGAAAAGGAAAGAAGAAGAACACCAAAAGAAGAAAAAAAAATCTACCTGAACGTAAGGCGTGAGGAGAGATAATTGGAGAGCCCATCCAAACTGGATCCCTCCAGCTACCATCGACCACAAGGCGAGGCTTACGAGAGAGCTATCCCCCAAGCTCCAAAGACTGGATTTCGGGATTTCCGCGTCGCTCTTGAGCGCTTCCATTTCTATAAGCCTTTCCTCGTCGCTGCTGTCACCGCTGTCGATAATCTCTGATCCATCCTGGGCCACAATCGTCGCGGCGGCCCCCTCCATTCTCTGTTGCTCGATATTACCATAGCTAGCTCCCTCCAGCTTGAGATCCGGCCCTAGATCTAGAGATTTACCCGAAGATCGGCGCGTGCGCTCGCGAATCCCAGCTCCAGCGATGGAGTGAAATTAAAAACCCTAAATTGTGAGGAAGAGTAAAAATAATAGTCGCTAGTGTCGCTGGCGCGGGCACATTTGCGAGTGATCGGACCCGAGAAGTCTGTCGCAAAGCGCCACGTGTCCACGTATCTGACCCCGAAAAAATCAACGGTCAAGATGCGCGTGGCATCTTTTCCCGGTATATTACCCGGCTTCGAACCGCCGACCTCTTCTATGCCTGCAACGTCTAGACTCTTCCGCCCGTAAAGGCATCAGCGCCTACATTCCGCAACAAGCGGCCAGGATTGAATGCTCGCCAGAATCGTCACGGGATAAGCAATCGCGACCGTCAAAATTCTCCTGTGTAGTAGGGAAATTCCAAGCCCGAGGAGGGGAACGAGAGGGGAGGGGGAATTTCGGTGCATGGCGGCGGCTATGGCTGCGGCATCGGCGTCGGCGGCGTCGGCGACACTGGTGAATCCATTGCCATTACGGAGGAGCCTGTGCTCTTCGTCGATTTCGATCGGGACGCAGCATCGCGGGCGAGGGCTGTGCTTCAATTCCCTAGTTTCCAGGCCCGGGACGCGCAATGCCGCAGTCTGTGGATCCAGGAGATTGCGCTACCGGACGTTTGCGCTCGCCGAGCAGCAGGCCAGCCAAGCTGAGGTATGAGCCTTCGCTCTACAAAAACCCTAGGGTTCCCATAGCGAGCGAGCATTCCTCCCTCTCTTTTCCATTCATGCTACGTGGAACTCCTGCATTGTGTGTCTCTCATTCTATAGAGCTGGTTTTTTTTCTCTGCTTGGATTGATCCTTTTCAGCGTGTTCGAACTTGTGTGGATAGATTTTTCTGTCTTAGTAGTGATAGTTTTGATTTTTGCTTGGTCCGTTTTAGTAGGATGACTTCATATAGTCCATGCGACGTGAAACTCTTGCATTGTGTGTCTCTCAATCCATGGAGCTGGATTGATCCGTCAGTATTTTTTTCAGCGTGTTCTTGTGTGGATGAGTTAGTTTTGATTTTTGCTTGGCATTTCTCTGTTCCATTTTCTCTGCTTGGATTGAACGTCAGTGGTTTTTCTACTTGTTCTTGTGTGAATAGATTTTTCTGTCTTAGTAGTGATTGGTTTCGATTTTTGCTTGGCATTTCTCGGTTCCATTTTCTTCATACAGTTCAGCGTGAAACTCCTGCATTTGTGTGTCTCTCAATCTATAGAGTTGATTTTTTTCTCTGCTTGGATTGATCCGTCAGTGGTTTTTCAGCATGCCGCGTATATAGATTTTTATGTCTTCGTGATTAGTTTTGTTTTTTGCTTGGGTTTAAGTTCCTTTTTTTCAGCTTTTTCTTGCGCTGCTAGACTTGCTATGGATGAGAGCTTTGTTTCATCTCAGCTCCTTAGGATGCTTTTCTTCACTTTCACGTTTGACAAGAATTGATTTTGATCTTTGCAGCAAGTGGAGGACGAAAAGGAGAAGGCTGATGATGACGGCCTGGAAGACACAACTTCTCAAGTTAACGGGAGTGAGCCGACCGAGGTCTCGGCTTCGGTCATCGAAGTTCTCCTCCGGAACTACTCTGAAGCTGTTCTAGGCAACGATCAAGCAGCAATGAGCACCATACAGGCGGAGCTGGAAGTGATCCAAAAGGAGAGGGACTCTCTCAGTCAGCTCGTTGCAAATCTCACGGAGGAATCGGCCCTGGCCAAGGAGCGGCTCTTGCGACTCAACGCAGACTTTGACAACTTCAGGAAGCGATCGGGACGCGAGAAGGATTCGCTGCGAGAGACCGTCAAAGGCGACGTGGTGGAAAGCTTGCTGCCAATGATCGACAACTTCGAGAGGGCCAAGGGAGCGATCAAGGCCGAGACTGATGGCGAGAGGAAGATTGACAGCAGCTATCAGGGGATCTACAAACAGTTTGTGGATATCATGAAGAGCTTGGGCGTCAAAGTCATCGACACAGTCGGAAAGGAATTCAATCCCGAGGTAAGTTTAGTCTCACTCAAAGATCGCTTTTGCTTCTCGTGCTAATGAGTGGAGCATTATCTTGGTACAGCTTCACGAGGCGATAATGCGCGAGGAATCTAGCGAGTATGACGAAGGTATTGTAACGCAGGAATTTAGACGAGGATTTTTGCTAGGAGAGAAGCTTTTGAGGGCCGCCATGGTGAAAGTTTCTTCCGGAAAGCAGAGTAACAGTCCAGCAGCAGCTCCTCAAGACTCCGAAGAGACAACGCCATCGGATGAAACTCCTGTGGACGAGAACAGTGCTTGAGAAGGACGAAAGAGGAAAAACAAAAGGAAGTTTTGGCACAGGATTTTGGGAATTCCTAGAAAAGGAGATAAGCGATCCATCCAACGAAGGATTTTTTTACTCTACATTTCATATACACTGAATCAAGACGAAGAAAGAACACACTACGAGATAATGAGAAGATGATAGTAGCTAATATGTTGTGTAGCGTTTGATTCCCACCAATATCTTGGAATATCTCCCGCGGGGGTCCCGCACGGACTCGACATACCGCCGCGTCGTGGTGAAATTTTCTTACCGCGCGGTCACTTTTTCGCGGTAACTAGGTCTGCATTATAAGGTAAAATCTCGAGCGTGAGAATCAGGGAAGTGGGAGGAGCGATGGCGGCCGCGGCTTCGTTCCCTTTCTATTGCGGCTGCGATTACCGCACGGATTCATCCGGCGCGGCATCGCCATCGCCAGCGCCAGCGCCGATTTCTCCGCCCCGATCCGGGGCCGACAGGTTGAGCAGCATTGCGTCGGCAGCGATGATTCTCAGGTTTCCTCCAAACTTCGCGCGGCAGCTCAGCGTCAAATCGCGGAGGAACTGCAGCAATATTGGGGTTGCGCAAGTGGTAGCGGCTTCTGCCATGAGCGGCCAAAGCAGCGGTGGCAGTAGCTCGATCGTCGACGGCGTCGCGGCGGCTCTGTCGGTGGGAATCTCTGTGAACGGCACGGCTGTGAAGATCGATAAGGCGGCTGAGAAGCCAAAGCCCAAGTCTACAAGCACTCTGGCTGTGCATGGAGGTAAAGCATGCGTGATTTCCTCTTTTCCTTTGTTCTACTGACTAGATCTTTCTCTAAAATTTCGTTTGTTTTCTATAGGTGAGCGAGAGAATGGGACCAAGGTTGCCGATTCACTCACGACTCCAATTGTCCAGACTGCTACGTATACTTTCCGGAACACGGCCGATCTGATAGCATTTCAGGCAAGGAAGAACAAGTCTCTACTTGACCAATTTTCTCACGCTGCTGCTATGAATGTAGGATGGAACATACAAAAGCTTCGAGTATGGTCGCTATGGAAATCCCACGACCCAAGCTACTGAAAGAAAGATCAGGTTTGCGATTGAAAGATAGAAATCCATCTCATCATCTCATCTTTTCTACAGTGCTCTAGAGGGTGCTGAAGAGACTTTAGTCTCGGCTTCCGGTATGTGTGCTGCAACTACAATGCTCTTGGCTTTGGTTCCTGCTGGTGGACACATTGTAACCACGACTGATTGCTACCGTAGAACAAGGCAGTTCGTCCAGACTGTGCTCCCCAAAATGGGGATAACGGTATGCTGATTTCTCCCGTTCGCAAGTTTTCCTTCTCTCGGTATCGATTCATACTTGTTATCTTTCAGACTACCGTCATCGATCCGGCAGATATGGCTTCGCTCAAGGGAGCGTTAGATGACAACCCTGTAAGCTATAATATCACATATCGCTATCTCCACTTGCTGACTTTGGCTCTCTTATTGTGTCGCTGGCCCATCCAGGTATCATTATTTTTTTCGGAGTCACCTACAAACCCGTATCTCCGCTGTATAGACATCGAACTCGTTTCAACACTTTGTCGCCGTAAGGGGGCCATTGTTTGCATCGATGGAACCTTCGCAACACCTGTGAATCAGAAGGCTTTAGCTCTGGGGGCGGACCTGGTTCTCAACTCGGCGACTAAATACATTGCCGGCCACAATGACGTACGATTGTTTTTATTTTTTGTTTTCGAGCATTGAAAGCTGATAGAAACTTTTTATTTCAGGTCCTGGCAGGCAGTATCAGCGGCTCCAAGCCACTCGTTGACACTGTGCGAAAGCTGCACAATGTTTTAGGAGGCGTCGTGGATGCGGTACGATGATATTGCATACTTGTGTTTGTTTCCTCATTATTTTCTGACGCTTGCTTCCTGTTGATCGGTCTTCTTTCCTGTTTGTAGCATGCTGCGTATCTCATTGGAAGGGGTCTCAAAACGTTGGATCTGCGCGTGAGGCAGCAGAATTCGAATGCGTTGCGACTGGCACGAGCTCTTGAATCCCATCCCAAGGTAATGTAATGTATATTTTTCTCTTCGAGGAAATATTAACAAGCTTTGTTTCCTAGATTGCTCGTGTTCACTATCCTGGTCTGGAAAGCCATCCGGAATTCCACATTGCAAGCAAGCAGATGCGTGGTTTCGGTGGCGTGGTGAGCTTTGAAGTAAGCTTCCTTCTTTTCATTCCTTCTCTTTTTCTTGTTACGACTATGACCCGGTTTGTCACATTTCTAGATCGATGGAGACTTGGCTCTCACCTCAAAGTTCATAGACGGGCTTCGTATACCATACATCGCTCCGTCTCTGGGAGGCTGCGAAAGCCTCGTAGAACAGCCGACGATCATCTCATACTGGTAAGTAAACCAGTAAAAAAGTTTCTACTTTACAGCCGTCATCAACTCTACTTTTGGATTCTCTTTTTTAATCTTCCAGGGATCAGAGTCCTGCCGAAAGAGCCAAGATGGGAATCAAAGATAACTTGGTGAGATTTAGCTGCGGCATCGAAGACTACGAGGACATATACGCCGACGTGATGCAATCCCTGGCATCTTTGTAGAGAAGGTACACGAGACACTAAATATGTCTAAGTTTTTGTTTGTTTATTGCGAAAGATTGGATGTATTTTGTTCTATGATCGTGGATCACGCAGAGAGATCCCAGGAATCATCGTGTTGTTTCGTCGATATTTTCTCTCTTCGTGACGAGACAATGTCAAATTACACGGAGGAATTTAGAATGCCGTCCACGACTCTGGCGCTTTCTGGAGGGAGGGGCTAGAAGATTCGAACAACGCGGGTGCGGATATTCGGTCGCATTGACGGCCGAGAGCTCGCCACGTCGGTCGGATCACCACGTAGATGTTGGCGCCAATGTAAATGCCAACGTGGCGGGTCCGTGGGCGTGACGTGTCATGCCGTTTATACTCTACCATTTTGGTTTTGTTTTAGTTGAATTTAGAGCTTTTGGTTTTTAACCTGCTGTGGCGAGAGGAGGAGTCCATGGCGCCGCGATGAGGCCCAGATCGGCGGGCGGGAGCCAAGAATCGCGCGGCGGCGGCGGCATTCCTCGCCGGATCGGCGTCTTCTTCGCAGGAATCGGGCGTCGATTTGGCCGGATCGGCTGAGAATCCGCCCCAGGTTTGCTCGGCGCCTCGCATTCTCGGGGATTCTCGGCCATGGAGAAGGAGAAGCTGCTAAGATCGGGCTCCCTGGCGTCGCAGGCCATGGCGCCGGGCAGCGTCTTCACAGTAGGGTTGATTGGCGCCTGGTACTCGTCCAACATCGGTGTTCTTCTCCTCAACAAGTATCTCCTCAGCAACTATGGCTTCAAGTACCCTATCTTCCTCACGATGTGCCACATGACGGCGTGCGCACTCTTCAGCTACATTGGGATCGCGTGGCTCAAGCTTGTGCCCATGCAGGCTATCAGATCCAGGACGCAGTTCGTCAAGATCTCGGCTTTGAGCATCATCTTTTGCGCGTCGGTGGTGAGTGGGAACATCTCGCTGCGCTACCTCCCGGTCTCGTTCAATCAGGCCGTGGGAGCTACCACCCCCTTCTTCACGGCCGTGTTTGCGTATCTCATGACGCTCAAGAGGGAGGCCTGGGTCACGTATCTTACGCTCGTCCCGGTTGTCACGGGGGTGATCATCGCTAGTGGGGTGAGTGATCTTTCCATTGTTTCTCGTATTTTATTGGATCCATCTCACACTCATTGTTTTTGTGTTTTTTGTTGGAATCTTTGTTTCCAGGGCGAGCCAAGCTTTCATCTCTATGGTTTCATTATGTGCGTGAGTGCCACTGCTGCCAGAGCGCTCAAGTCGGTATTGCAGGGAATTCTCTTGTCCTCCGAGGGGTAAGAAGCTCTTCGATTTTCTTTCCTAGCAGCTCCTGTTTGCCGTGCGTCATTTTTTTTCTTCTTCTCGTTTGCTTGCTTCGACTGTTCTTCGTCTTTATGTAATTCTTGTTTGCATCCTTCGAATGTTATTCCCTGATGCGGTTTTTGTCCTACTTTACTTCCAGGGAGAAGCTCAACTCTATGAACTTGCTGCTCTACATGGCACCGATCGCCGTGGTGCTGCTGCTGCCGGCGACGCTGATCATGGAACCCAACGTGGTGGGCATCACAATCGCGCTCGCCAGGACAAACTTCTCCATCATCGGCTTGCTCCTGGTTAACTCGGCCACCGCTTACTTCGTTAACCTCACTAACTTCCTCGTCACCAAGCACACGAGCGCTTTGACTCTCCAGGTACGAAACAATCACAGCTCTAAGGATCGATCACTTTTCTCTTTCTCTGTTTCGCTATCCTTTCTCTATCCTATCTTGAGTGGAATTCAATCTCTCGCTCTTTTAATGGTTCTGTTCTTGACAGGTGCTGGGAAATGCCAAGGGAGCAGTGGCCGTTGTGGTGTCCATACTTTTGTTCCGGAACCCCGTGTCTGTGGTTGGCATGGCGGGCTACACACTCACAGTGTTTGGAGTGATCCTGTACAGCGAATCTAAGCGTCGGCTCAAGTAGAGAGCACTCTGGGAAGCTACAGATTTTGAGGGAAGCAAATTTTTTTTCTTTTTTCTTGGTTCGGACAGAGGGAGACCAAGATCATCGATCAAAACATTCCAGGCAGCTAAAGAGATATAGATTCACGCGTCTAAAGTTTCTGAGCTCATTCTCTTGATCGGAATTAATTTGAAAAACTCTACAACTTCATTGGGCTTAAAGATGAAGAAAATTAATTATAGAAGGCTTAACGTTAAACCTAGACCTGTTAAATGAAATATAAATCGCGTTTTCCTTTATTCACACAATGATTAGGGCAGGATGAACGTTGGGCGATGCTTGTGGAAGAAGGCCACTGCGTGTAAGTCTTCCTCCCAGCTAGCAGCGATCAGACGAGGCGCGCTGTTTGGAATGGAGGCGCCCATCGCTGTTGCCGCTGGAGACACGGGCAACGTTCACGTCGTGCCCTCCTCAGAGGCCTGGCGCAACAAATTCTCGGAGCTCACCTCCAATCCCAAGAAGCTGGTCAGTGTTTCCTCTTCCAATTTATTCTATTCGTGATTTTCATGCTATTGAGGCTTCACTTTATTTGTTTTCAGGCAGTGGTTGATTTTACTGCGGCTTGGTGCCCCCCTTGCAAGATGATTGCACCTTTCTTCAATGACTTGTCCAAGACATACGACTCGGTGGTGTTCCTCAAGGTGGATGTTGATCAATTGCAGGCAAGTTTTTTGTGTTTTTTTCTTTCCTTCTTTTTTCTTAGCTACTGGTAGATGATTCTATCTAGGATGTTGCTGCGGAATGGAGGATAGAGGGGATGCCAACATTTGTTTTCATGCTTGCGGGAAAGGAGGTACACAGGATTGTTGGGGCAAATAAGCCAGAGTTGGAAGCTAAACTGATGCAATTTGCAAAAAGTTAAGTTTATAGGTTTAGAGGTGTCATTGGCTAATGTTAAATAATTTGCATACAATTGGAATTATTTGCAATATAAGATAAATAATGTAGTTTCTTTTGATAATGGTGCAAATAACTTATAATAACAAAAATATCTTTTTTTCTTATCATATATGCATGGCTCAAATGCATAATATCCATGTTTGTGTAGGACTGAACTCCAAGAAGTTTACCAACGTTAATAAACGACATTGTTCACAAACCTCTTCTAAAAGGTTTACCCCGAAACCCTAAACCAATGCCATTATAAGAAGAATAGATTTTTAGAATGAGAGCTTTCCTGGCTCAGAAGCATCTGAAACTAGATACAAAGTGGCTATTAATATCTTTGTAACTCGTGTGGTCAGTAGGACGAATGGACTCCCATACTTAAACTACTTATCTAACTGCATTGGAGCCATGATCTGAACGAGTTGGTGTGTGATGTTTTGTAATCTCCAAGAGGATGATTGCCACTTCATTGGCATTGCCGTATGAGGATGGTTTGGTTGCTTGTAACAAATAGAGAGATTTTTAATTACCTAGGACAAGTAAAATTGACTACCAAATTGACTATAGCTAGCATTCTTTGAAAAACAAAATTGAAGTCAATGATCTAGTATTGAGCCTGACTAACGTTTTCTGGACTTCTTTGGCACTCTTTGACTTGCTCTGGAAGTTTAAATAAATTTTGTATTAGTGATAAATAAGAAATATCACTACTATTATACAAATGAATTTGAAATCATAACTTCGATCATGGGCACTAGATTGAGGAATTATAGGATATACTTGAATGTTCTAGGTATGTTCCTTACATGAAATTCACAGCTATCCTTTTGAAAGGACAAATCACAAGCTTTCTCTCCCTGTTCATCTCTACCCTACCAGCTAGTCTTTGTCTTTTTGCAATAATTTGTTCTGTCTATAGAGAAAATTAAGCATTTTTGGAGTTACACAAAGAAACTGTAAGTCAATGCATCCCTGAGGAGCAATTGTCTTTATTTTATACTTTATAGATTGTACAATCAGTTCTGGAAGAAAAAGTCTTGAAAGCTTAGAAAAGAATTTTGCTTCAAAAAAAGAATGTTTATGTATGTAAGGGTTTCTTCAAATTTGCTCTAGTTTAGATTGAGGTATATCCTATGATATACTTGGATTCTAATTATAGATTTTTTTTTATTTAAGGGGTTAGTCAAGAATTTATCTAGTGGACATAAGAAGATGCTTAAATATTCTTCATTTAGATTAATCTTATTTTTATTTAATGTAAAATTAGATTAATCTTGTTTTTATAGATTATAAAAATACATAAAATTTCTTAAACACCAAGTAAATCTAAAATGATATTTAAAAGCGTTAACAAATATGCTATTGAGGATAACTTTATTTCTTAGTTATAAGTTCCTAATCTAGGGATAACCACAATTGTGTAAAGAACATTTAAGGAATTTAACTTTCTTTTTTGGCCTCTTCAACTACTAATGGCAGTTGAAATTGGTTTAGATTACAATATTTTCTTTGGTAAACAACCTATTTTTCTCTATTAGGTTTTAGAAATGAAAAATTCTGTTAAGTCCTTTGTATATTAAATATAAATTATTGCTTATTGCATTGTAGCAATTCTTGGCTTTTAAGAGTTAAGAATAATACTGATAAATTAGTAATCTAGACATCAGAAATTTTTTAAAAAATATTTATTAAAAATTTTAATATTATTTTAATTAATTGTATAAATAAATATAATGTATTACAAAAATTATAAAATAAAGAAAATAAAATTCAGAAAAAACTTTATTTTTTATCTAAATAGTCAAAATTTAAAAAAAAAAAAGTTCATAGAGTAATCAGTAATATATGAAATTGGTTGATTGATATTTTGTAAATATATTTTTTATAATTGGTTGACAAGATTGAAATATTCACCCTCATGAAAAGAGAAATATAAAATTAAGCTATAATAAAATTTATTATTAAAAAATTGATTTTTATTGCTATATCCTAATATTTTGATTTTTCAGTCATTTTTCCTAGTGTGTGAGCAAGAAATATAATAATTATTTTATTTTACATATCAAACTCTTAATGTAATCATTCAATAATGACAATATATTTTGAATTCGTCTTTTAGCTATCTAAATTATGTCTCTTGAAAAAAATAGCCTAAACATAGTTACAAATATACAACACATGTATATCACATATTTGAAAATGAAATCAAAGATATTAATAACTAAAACTACCAAGAAACTTACTAATCAATATACATAACCGTCATTAGATGTGTGACCTTTCTCTCACATAGGAGGAAGAGTTCCTTTTCTTCTATTCTTTTGATTAGATGTGTCACTCACACATAGGAGTTTGAAGAGGTCCTTTTCCTCTAATTCTTTTATGATTTTTCATTCGATGCGGGTGAGAGATCCCATCAGATCTGCTCTAGTTTTGACATTGGAATCACAGTTGGTACATGCATTCGATTTTGTTTGTTTGTTTTGGGATAAAGTTTTTAAGTTTCCAGTGATCAAAGAGTTATCTGGCTCCGACACCACGCTGGAATCGCCACTGAGGCAATTACCAAGCTCCCGTAGAAGCTGCTGGTCAGAAAAAATTCCCTTAAAATAATACGCTTTATTTCTTTGTAGTCCCGACAAAGAACAAGGCGGGCTATTTGGAATGGCGTTGCCCGACGTTCACGTCGTGCCCTCCTCCAGAGGCCTGCAGCAAGAACAAGAGCAAACGCAAAAAAGACAAACAAACAAAGAAGCGACTGCCTCCTCTTCTATCTGCGATACACATTGGCCCTTTGCAATCTCGACCTTATAGTGCTTCGAAGATATTTGGTTCTTTTACTGCTTGCAGCATGACAAAGTCTGTTAGTGTAGCTGCTGGAGTTAAACATGACTTGCCATTGCTAGAACCAGACAATCATGCAGGACAGTGAACGCTTCTTTCACAACCTGTAAGAATAAATTCCTTAAAGAATAAATGTGATATAGATTCCTTACCCTTGTTTTGTAATTGAAGCTAAGAGCGGCAAAAGTAAAAGCACCTTGGTTTTGTACCTGTAAATTGCCAAAGTAAAGCAAAGCAAACCAAAAAAAAAGACACCACAAACCATTACTGTGGCAAGCATATAGCCACCTCGTTTTTTCACCTGCACATTTATCGTGAGCTGAAGCAAAGCAAGCAAAAAGACCACACAAATACAGACCATTACAACTCCATCCACTTCTGTGATGTTCTCAACCTTCTCAACGGGAGAATCCTTGGCCGAAGCAGTAGAAGTTAAAGCTTCCTCCTCCTGAGAAAAGATGAGTTACTAAAGTTCAAACAAGACGAGAGGTTTACCTTTTTGAACAATATAGTTCTGATGTTCAGAGCATTCCGTTGCATTGCTCGCTTCTTGTCCTGGAAGGAAAAATTATCTGACACTGCTCGAGCAAGCACTTTCTTGAACTTCCTTCCACATAACTTGACGTTCTCGCTGCCATCGATGACGCACAAATCTCCTCCACATTCGGGATTCTCGATGCAAGCTTGAGCAAAAGCGTCGAGACCCAGCGAAAGAGCTTCTCCAACACTCGCCTCCTTTCCATGGTTCTGTCCTCGGACTGGTTGTCTCAGAATCACCTGTGCTTGTTGTGCTCCGGAACCAATGGCCATTACGGAATGCTCATTTGTAAGTTCCGTTGTCTTGTACCCGTTGCCGTCATTCTTGACCATCACCAACATGCTCTCGTTGTAGACAAAGAACGATGCAACGAAGTCTGGATCTGTGGTTGCATAAAGGCCTGCCTTCTTCGTCAAAAACTTGGCTGCTTCATGAAGAGTTAACTCTTTCCTACTTAGCTTGACTTGCAAGAGTTTAATAACTTGTAAAGACGCAGCCACGTTGCCAGCAAAGCCAACTCGAAGTCTTGGCTCACTCCTCACCTCCACAATCTTCTTAAAGTTCCTCCGCTTCTCAACTACACCTCCGTCGTCTCCAGTAACAGTTGTGAGTGAATCGAACAAGACTATAAATCCTTGCTTGCAAAAAACTGCAAGACCAATAGTTCCTACACATAAAAGATATAAGAAAAGCATGAGGGAAATAAAACGAATGCTCACCGTGGAATAGAGAAGCTGACCATCTTGTGCCCCAGAAGATATCTCTCCACCAGGGGCTTAAATCCTGCACAAGAAAATCTATAAGTCCTACATTGTATAGTTTCACAGAATCTAGTGACTCGCCTTTGTGGGGGCAGCAGCCAATTGGATGTATGCTGACGACTTGGAAGAGACTTGACAGTTGCATTGACAAACTCACTTCACCAGCACACTCCATCTCGAAGCAAGCAATATCGTCGGCTCGAGTTTTCCCCTTATGAGCGGCACTGGCGACAGAGGGAAACAATTCACACACAAAGTCACAGAAAAGTCACGCTACTACTTACCTCACAAGACGTAAAACCATTACAGTCGAGCCAATGACGAGAAACGCATCTGACTCTTGAACCATGCTTGCAGCAGCTCGAGTTCCATCCAAGTAAGCTTTATCTCCGAGCATACGAGCACTGATGTTGTATAATTCCTGGAACAAAGAATTAAAGAAAATTAGAACCTCGTCCTGTGATGAAGCTAACAAACCTGCATTTGCAATTTCGAGCTGGGGAGCAGCAAGGCCTGGAACTGAGCTCCATCCAAGGGAATGTTACAAGCACTGATGTTGTATAATCCCTGGAACAAAAGAATTCAAAAGACTTAGAACCTCGTCCTGTGATGACACTAAGTTAATGGAAAGCAACAAACCTGGAGCAGCAACGCCTGGAACGGAGCTCCATCCAAGGAAACGTTATCTCCGAGCTTACAGGCACTGATGTCGTATAATCCCTGAAACAAACAATTACAAAGGCTTAAAACCTTGGAGAGCAAACCTGCAATTGCGATTTCAAGCTGGGGAGCAGCAACGCCTGGAACTGAACGGGGTTTCCTTCCCTTGGCTTGACGAGAGAATTACTGAGATAGTCCATGAAAGGCAGGCTCTGCCCCTGCATGAAAAAGCACCAGAGATCTGCTGTTAGGGGATTTCATTCGCTAGCATTGAAAATATTACCTCGAGCACGATAGGAACATCAGGCGCATCACAGAAGAAAGCAAGCGCCCAGCCGTCTTGCACCATCCCGCCAAAAATATTTAAACGCTGCCACGTGTGAATTCCACGTGGCATAGTCACGGTCCACGTGGCTATGTCATGGAAAAATAAGAACCGAAGATCTCACTCGGCACAAACGAATTCCGGGGAATGTTTACTCGCAGCTTGTGATCTACCGGTAAGGATCCATACCTCAATGTAGGTGATCGAAAGCGCAACCCATCGACCCAGTAAAGAACTATTGCTTCCCTTGGCCGAGCGAGCTCCCAACGCCAAAACCCCTAAATTCTCTTTGTTAAAAGAAGCCCACGCTGTGATGGACGTCTGATTCAATAAAAATCAACTAATACAAAAGACACAATGGAATCCCTTCCTCTTTGAAGCGTCGAATAGAATTCCCGTCCTCCGGCTGGCATTTTGCCGAGTGTCTCGTTGTCTCCGAGCCGCCGGATATACAGTTTGTACGTTCCTGTTCTGACGTAAAACCACTCTTGGGAGACGGAGAGCTTGGAGAGCTTGTTACACCCCCGGCCATATCTTTACGCAGACAAAACGAGTGTAAGTCCTTCACCCCGGCCTTTAACCGATTATACTTTATGTGAGTAGCATTCCGTGACTGTGTTCTTGTCACCGAAGGATTTGTGGTGAATTCCCTGAAAATCCACTGTGAGTGCATCGGTCGAAGAAAAAAAGGCTTTCTTTGCAGCTCATTCAAATGAGAAATCCAAGACTCGAAGAGATCCCTTCAATGAGAAATCCAAGACTCGAACCTCCAGTCTTTTTTAGGGTCGGCTTTAGGGTTTGTCCGGATGGAAGAAGCTATCCGGAGCATGCTGTTGAAATTGAATCACCCTGGTTATCTGGTGGATTTCTCTGTGGAGGAGACAGCCATCTTCGATCCTGTGACTGAGAGGGATTACTTCCCTGTGAAGATTGAAGCGAAAAAGGTTGAGGGCTTTGTTGTTAAAGGAGGGCAATACTTCCCTCCCGATGAAAAGGGTATGAGGGCTCTGGCTCTCTTTCTTTGGGATGATGATGAAGAAGAAGATGAAGATGATATTTATGGTTACCACACCGCAGATGATATGGAGGATGTATGTGTGAGCGATGTATGTGTGAGGTATTTGGTCCAGAAGGTAGGTTTTCACTGTTTATTATTTATTTTTTTGAAGTTGGAAATTTATAGGTATCTCCAGAAGGAAAACTATTGGAATCAGCAGACCAAATTAGTCTCACAACTGACTATGATTGGAGAAAATATTCTTGCTTATGGAGGGAGAGTCAAGCTGCAATGCGTGCACGTATTATGGAACTGAGTGCAAAAGGGTATAGAATCGTGTAGTTATTATGTTATGGAAACTGCTACTACATTTCTATGTTATTATGTTAAATTTCCTAAATAATAGCTTTCTTTCATCATCTCTCACCATCCTGGCACACAGTTTTATGTGGATTTGGCGCTGATCTATGAGTGCGGCAGAGGGAAGGAGTAAGAGCGTTTCCAAAGATGAACTGTTTTCCGTTTTCTGGTTTTCTTATTCACACAGGCAGAGCACGACAAGCACGAATGATTCTTGCACTGTGGAGGGGATTTGTGCGTCATTGACGGCAGCAGAAACATCGACTTTGGTGGAATGAAGTTCAAGAAGGCACTTGAAAGAGCAAGGAGTGCAAAGAAACGCGATGAACATCAAGATTGCATTGTTTGACAAACAGGTAATCCTCTCATCTTTAGCTCTTTCTGCTCTAGTTTTTTACTCGTCTTTTCTCAGCATGTTGCTACCAAGTATTCTTCTGCGGAAAAGGTCTAGAGCGTCAAAGAATGAGAAAAGGTTTTCAATCCTTTTGCTCCCCAAGACTCACCATTTCATTCTGGAATTCTCAAGGACCCGGGAATACCCTTGCCAAGATGCCTGCAATTTGCTAACGCCATGGACACACACCCGCAGAAGAACACACAACAAAGTAAAGAAAAAGGATAACACACCATTACTAGCACATCCACAGCTTTGGTAGTTTTCAATTTATGTGAGTTGATGTTTTGGCTGCTGGTGATACTCCTGTAAGAATGTTGAAGTTCTGAAATCTACAGTGAACAAGCTTACCTCTGATGCTGCTTGAACTCTTGAAAGCAATGAGTGGCACCACCTCGGTTGTGTCCCTGTACATTGCTTTTGAGCTAACATTCGATCAAGTTCCACGACCGCACGGCAACTCGGTGACATGGGCGGATGGAGAGCATAGGTAAAGAAAGCTTTTTTTTCTTTTGACTCCAATGGAATCAAAATAGGTCTTCAGGCAATTCATCACAAATCCCAGGACTTCTACTCGTTTAGTGTGTGTGAATCAAAGGTGGGGGGTAACAAGCTCTTTACAGCTGATGCCGTCTCTCAAAAGTGGTTCTACGTACAGGAACGTCCAACTTCGGCTTGGAGACAAGACACTCGACAGTCGGGAAATGTTTTCAAGTGGTTGCACATGGTTCAACTTCATTACAAACAGCTAGTGGTACGACATTCATGCTTCTTTCCATGTCCTTGCCGTGTAAAAGTGACAGGGTGCTATGGACAAGTGCTGGTACAGGTTTTGCTGGGAGAAATGCGAGTAGGCTGTGGAAAACGCTGGCTATCTTTATGGAGATTGCTCAACAATTTGACGCTATTTTTCTCTGAAACTGGAAAGACAATCTCGCATGCAGGTGAGTGTTAAGTTCTTTGGATGCTTCCTCTTTGCTGACGTCCGCGTTTTCTTCCAAGTGTCTAAGCCGAGAGAGAGGCAGTGACAAGAACAATTTCTCACTCTGATAATATCTTGGCACTTGGGGATGTCAAAGCACACAGATCAAATATGTCCTTGGACGATTCACTCTGACGAGATCTCTTCCTTTGTAAATGAGAGTGCTGAGAGCAAAAATTTCATTCCCTCTGCAGGAACCACCAAACTCTGAGGGAAGCCCGTGCTATAGAGTGCCGAGATGCACCGTGGACGCCAAATCCCACGTAAACGTTGATACAATTGCTGTGGAGAGAACTTTTATCAAATGTCGTATTCCTCCTTACTCGCCATAAGGTTTGTAGGGGATGATCTGATACATGTCACGCAGTTGATGCGATTTGAGAGCTTGAAAACGACGTAAGGAGATCCATGTAACGAAGCAAAT